TTACCTAATCCCAAGGTCTAAAAATGCCTGCCACCATACCATGTATTTGATGCAGAGAGGTCTCTCCCACTGAACGGGGAAGGTGGTATAGATTTGGATGCTGTCCCGCATTTACACGTCTTGTCCTGCGTAAAGCACCCTCATCGGCCCTACACAGGCCTTCAGGCTGCGACTCCTGCGAACTGTCTGTATCCCTAGCTGGAACCTGTCATCCTGGCCCAATAGCAGGAACTGGTCCCGTAACACTCACCCAAGCAGATGGCAGATGGACCAAGTTCTGGTTCAACATCGACTTGGTCCTGCTCTTGCACCAAAGCTAGCAAATATACCTCATCCTCTTCCTCAACCACTGAGGATGTGTCCAACACTGGGTCATGTGAAGGACTGTCATGGTTAGCAGCAACTGTGTCCTTACAGACTCAACTCTTTAACAGTGAACGATGCACATTCCTTACCTTGGTCAGGTCATCTACAGGCACAATGGTGTACACTACACCACCCTCCTTGGGTGCCCTCGTCACTGGATAAACCACTGGGCTCCACAGGTTCTGGATTTTTTGGCGGCCCCTTACCCCATAATCACGGAGGTACACCAGCTGACCCCTCCACCAGTGGTTCATCTCGGACATGCTGATCATGATGGGCCTTGCGCCTTTCAGCTATGACCTGCAGCCGTTTACGTGCACCTGCAAAGGCCACCTGGAGCCTCGTTTGATGCTCCAAGACCCAGTCATGCACACTACCCTCTCTTAGCTGTGGGTCTCTTCCCAACAGGAAATCAACGGGCAGTCGTGGCTCCTGACTGAACATCAAAAATTGTGGCGATTCCCCTGTGGCCTGATGAGGAGTGCTATTATAACTAAACACAACCTGGGGAAGACAAGCTACCCACTCTCGTTTCCTGGACACTGGCAGAGTGCGCAACAGATTATGTAAGGTGCGGTTAAAACGTTCACACTGGCCGTTACCGGCCGGGTGATAAGGAGTGATACGAGACTTCTCCATGCCGTAGAACTCACAAAACTGCTGTATTAACAAGAACTCAAAATTCCTACACTGGTCAGAATGGAGACGGCCCGGAATGCCAAACAGATAAAACCATTCTGTCACCAGGGTTTGGGCCACGGTCTCGGCACGCTGATCCCTGGTTGGAACAGCCAGGGTATACTTACTGAAAACGTCAGTCATCACAAAGACGTTTTCAATGCCAGAGCTTGTGGGCTCCAAAACAGTGAAGTCCACCGCAAGAATGTCATTTGGCCTAGATGACAATAACCGTCCCATAAAACCCTGAGCAAGTGGCTGGGTGTCCTTAGCTGCCTGGCACCGATCACACTCCTGACACCAACTTGCCACATCTGAGGACATTCTCGGCCAATAACACCTCTGTCTCACCAATTCGTTGGTGCGCTCTCTGTCCTGATGTCCGTGTTGCTGGTGCAATTGCCTTAACACCTCGGACCTCAAGGCAACAGGCAATACTAATTGCAACACCTCCTCTTTACCATTAGGGCAGTGAACCCGGCGATAAAGCATACCATCTCGCTCCATCAAACGGTCCCACTGACGGAGCAATGTTAAGGCTGCCTTAGTCATTCGGCGTTGTTCATCAGGGCCCGTTTTTATTACTCTTACCTGAACGATACTTGATATCAAAATTGAAGGCCGCCATCTGAGAAGCCCAACGCTGCTCAGTCGCAACAAGCTTTGCAGTGCCTGGGGCCAACCCATCCAACACACCAGGTTCCAGGAGGTCCCTCTGTGAAAGTGCATCTGCATTTTTATTACTCTTACCTGAACGATACTTGATCTCAAAATCGAAGGCCGCCAGCTGAGAAGCCCAACGCTGCTCAGTCGCACCAAGCTTTGCAGAAGCCAGGTGGCTAAGGGGGTTATTATCTGTAAATACCACACACTTATTACCCAACAGGTATTCGCGGAACTTCTATGTCATGGCCCACTTGAGCGCAACAAACTCTAGCTTCATAGAGCTATAGTTGGACATGTTGCGCTCAGGGGGCCTTAAACTGCGACTGGCATATGCCACTGGTCTTACCTTACCCTCATTTTCCTGGGAAAGGACTACCCCTAGACCTTGATGGCTGGCATCCACCTCTAGGATAAAGGGTTTAGAGAAGTCTGCATTTGCAAGTACTGTGCTGGTGGTAAGTTTTTCTTTTAACCCCTCAAAGCTCACCTGACATCTCTCACTCCAGGCACTAGCAAAGCTCCTACGCTGAGCAATCGAACTGGAGAACACAACAATATCGTCCAGATATAAGAGTAAAGACTGGCACTGCTGGTCCCCGAATAACCTCTCCATAAGCCGCTGGAAGGTAGAGGGGGCATTGCACAACCCAAACGGCATTCGGTTCCATTCGAACAGGCCAAATGGGGTGCAAAAAGCAGTCTTCTGCTTATCCCCCTCTGCGACAGGAACCTGGTTATACCCACTAGCTAGATCCATGGTGGAAAACCAACAGGCCCCGGTCAACGCATCTAGCGACTCCTCAAGCCGAGGCAAGGGAAACGCATCCCGTCTAGTCTTGGCATTTAACTGGCGGTAGTCAACGCAAAAACAAACAAACCCAGGTCAAGTGGAGCAAAAAGAAATATAGATAAAGCAAAATCACACTGAAACAAGGTTAAACCATAAGAAACAAAAATACAAGAAACAACACAAAGCAAATACAGACTAAAGAACAAATGAGCAAACAAACAACATAAACAAACTAATATACCGGAGAATAAACGTAAACAAATATACCGAAAAAATAAATACAAAACAAAGTAATTACAAACACAAAGCAAGGATAAATAAATCAGCAATAAACAAAACAAATGCACATATAAAAACTGGTCTAACGGAGGAGGCCGATACACAGCGCAAACACACGCCAAAGAGCAGTTTTAAGTTACAGGGACTAATGTCAACAAAGCAGCAGCATCAAAGAATGTTGCCCCACAGGCTGCACTGAATGCAATGGATCCTAATCCAACTATTCCTCCTGAAAATAATTAACCGCAAAATTATTTACCACATAAACATGGTGGAAAACCAACAGGCCCCTGTCAACGCATCCAGCAACTCCTCAATCCGAGGCAAGGGAAACGCATTCCGTCTAGTCTTGGCATTTAACTGGCGGTAGTCAACGCACAAGCATAGACCACCATCCTTTTATTTTAACCAACACAATTAGAGAGGCGTACGGGCTACAACTTTCCCTGATTAACAGAGACTCCAGCAGCTGATTAATGTGGGCCCTAACAACCTCATACTCAGAGGGAGGTACACGGCGATGTCGCTGCCGCACTGGCACATCATCTAACAGTGGGATATCATGAGAGATGAGACTTGTACATCCCAAATCACAATCATGTTCAGAGAACACGGTCTGATACTTCCTAAGCAAGGCCCTTACCTTGCCCTGTTCTAATTCTGGCAATGCAGTCAGGTCCACCTCTGCAATCTGTTCTGAAACCGTGGAACTAACTGCTAGGGTGGCTTGAGAATAGACATTTGCTGTAGAGGGTCTAACTTCAGTAACACCCGCTGGCAAACTAACAACCTGCACTCTAACCAGAGTACCTAAAACTCTGCGTGGAAAGAGTAGGACATCAGACGTACCTATGTTAACCACCGGCACATAAACTGAGCCTCCAGTCACTCGCACCAAGGCGGGGGAGGCTAACAACCCTTCAGGTAACCCAGACTCAGTGGGCTCAAACAGTACTGTACTACCTGCCAACTGTTCTGCACAAGTTGCCGCAACCAACTTAATGGTACCGCCTGTGACACGACATTCCCAAGGACCACGCACCCTTACCTTAGTCGTGCACTCAACAGGAGGCTGCTCACTACCTTAATGGCAGTGTTGTAAGACTTGAAAAACTGAAAGTGGTGCACTAGAAACTGGGGGAAAATCAAACAAAGCGGGGCCATGCTGTCCAAAGAGTTCCTGGTAGCATCGCCCAAGTACATTCATCCCCAATACACCAGGGACTCGAGAGCATAAGCCACCAGGAGGATCCCTGCCGACTACGCCAGAATGTAGCGGGAGTAATAATCGGAAAGGGAACTCTAAATTCAGCTGACTACGCCACCCTGTCCAACAGGGAAGATAAATTATGAATTGGTCACCTACAAAGGGCACACAGGAATGTGGTTTCAAAGACAGAGGCCTGAGACGTGGATACCAAAGCACTAGTTAGCAGACACATACCTGTGAGACGGGAAGAGCCAAAACTGGAATGGGCGGGCCTCAGGCAGTGAGGCACAATCGGTGCTCCAACACACAACGGTGCCTTAAAAGTCCCCTTTTATATACCCGTGAAAGTATATGATTGGACAACTCATGCATTCGTGGCATATTTAAAGAACCAATGCACCCACTGTCCATCCCACTACACTATCTTTGAAGAGAATGTTATAACAACCTACAAGGCCATGCTTGTAATCAATGCTTGCAATCAACAACCACTAAAATTGTAGTCCTGGTATTAAACAGCTTGAAAGATCAAAGACAATTTTTTATATAACTCTCGATGACTTGAGGGTGAGTAATTTATGGGCTTATTTTCATTTCTGGGTGAACTAACCCTTTAATGTTATGAAGCGGAAGAGAAGAAATTTTTGAATAAAGTCGTTATTTTTGTTTTCTTTGCGCACAAAAAGTATTATCGTAGCTTCATAAATTTACGGTTGAACCACTGATGTCACATGGACTATTTTAACAATGTCTTTACCACCTTTCTGGGCCTTGAATGTGCTAGTTCTGTTGCTGTCAGAAAGCTCTCAGATTTCATCAAAAGTATCTTAATTTGTGTTCTGAAGATGAACAAAGGTCTTACAGGTTTGGAATAACCTGAAGGTGAGTAATTAATGACAGAATTTTCATTTTTGTGTGAACTATCCCAAAAATGGATCACTAACAAAACATTTAATGCAATATACTAAAATATTGAAGATTTATATGTTTCAAAAAATTTATTTTGTCGGTACTTTTGAATGGCTGTTAATGAAGAAAAATTATTTTGGGATCCAGATGGTGTAGTTACAATATGTCAGTAGGGGCAACTGGACCATGCTAACCAGCCAAACATTGGTGGAGTCGATTTACATAACATTTGTGCACCAGATGCTTTTTAATTTTATATAAAATCCTCTATTTCAAAAATACTGAAATTAAGTGGAGCAAATGTTTTTTTTTTTACATGCCCTCATGTTCCAAAGCACTACATAAACAATATACTGATGAAATGTCTCTGAAAGATGTATCATTCTTGCAGAAGCCTAGTGATTTACAGTATGACAGGATTGTCATTGTTATTTGCAAGTTTTGTCCCTTAAAACCACATATTTGTCTTTCCCTCCCAGTCAGTTTCACAGGATATTGCTGCAGCAGAGGGGCAGAAGTCTTTTAAATGCTTTCTTAAAGTCCTCATTAAAGATGGTGTATATTAGCGGATTGATGAGGGAATTGAGGTATCCGAGCCAGGTGAGGAAATCTGCGAGTACAGCGGAAGTGCTGCAGTTCGGGCAAATATTCACAATCACCTCCTTCAGGAAGAACGGTAACCAACAAACCACGAAGGCTCCCAGGATTAGTCCTAATGTCAAAGCTGCCCGTCTCTCCCTGGCCCCTGGGTTCCTGCGGACTTTGATGAGATTACCTGATGAAGAAGTAATACGCACCCTTTCCCCATCTGTCGCCGGATCGGAAAATGACTTCTCGACTGGGCAGAATGTGTCGGGACTGAGGGCAATGTCTTTATCTGAGCTCATTCCAGGAAGCAAGACGCTGCTCACTGTCTGTTTGACTAATCGGCTGCTCCCTCGACGGTTACGCAGCGTCTCTGCTGCCTTGTAGATCTTGTAGTACAGAACCAAAATGAGGGTCAGTGGAATATAGAATGCTCCGAAAGTGGAATAGACAGTGAAAGCCACATGGTCGTGCTCAATCAAGCAGTCCATGACTTCCCTTTCCCCATCTTTGTGTTCCAAAGGGAATTTCCTCAACACTAAAGGTGGTAGAGACACCAGCACAGACAGTGTCCACAGGGCCAAAATGGTTATGATTGCTCTTTTATATGTGCGTTTCTGGGAATAGGCCACGGCATCGGTAATGGCGCGGTATCGATCAAGGGCAATGGCGGCTAGGTGTAAAATTGAGCAAGTGCAGCACGTAACGTCAACACCCAACCAAAGGTGACACACGATCGGACCGAGAACCCACGTCTCTTCTGTTATGTACACAATGCTGACGGGCATCACCAGAACAGCTACTAGAAGGTCTGTCACAGCTAGAGAGCAGATGAGGTAGTTGGCTGGTTGGTGGAGTTTGTGGGTGATCAGGATAGCAGTGATGACCAGGGAGTTGATGGCGGTGGTCGCCACAGCCAGGAAGGAGAGAGTCAGGGAGAGGAGGATCTTACTGGGACTCATCTTGCTGGCCAGAACATCAGAGAGATCCACTGATGAGCAGTTGATGGGGTCCATGGTGAAAGTACGGTTGTGGCCTGTAAGGGATGGATAAAGAAAAAGTATGAGCAAGAGCAAAACTAATTTCCGTTGGAAAAAGAAAACACATTGACTTTGCAATTTACATTGATATCATGAAGTGTGAAATTAAAAACATGTTAATACCAACACAAGTCTTAAATCAGTCAAACCATGACACAACTCTGGAAAATTTGTGTTATAGAACCTCATTATTTTAGTGGGTATTTCTTGAATTTATTTCCCATGTGTTTATTTTTATAGAAGAGTCTAGCAGACAGATTTCAAAACAGATTGTATTTACACTGAACAAAATTATAAACGCCACACTTTTGTTTTTGTCCCCATTTTTCATGAGCTGAACTCAAAGATCTAAGACTTTTTCTATGTACACAAAAGGCCTATTTCCCTCAAATATTGTTCACAAATCTGTCTAAATCTGTGTTCATGAGCACTTCTCCTTTGGCGAGATAATCTATCCACCTCACAGGTGTGGCATATCAAGATGCTGATTAGACAGCATGATTATTGCATAGGTGTGCCTTAGGCTGGCCACAATAAAAGGCCACTCTAAAATGTGCAGTTTTAAGAAATAGGCCTTTTGTGTACATAGAAAAAGTCTTAGATCTTTGAGTTCAGCTCATGAAAAATGGGGGCAAAAACAAAAGTGTTGCGTTTATAATTTTGTTCAGTGTATACGAAGATCATAGTAAAACTGACATGTAAACATGCCTTTATTATTTATTAATTCAATACATTTTTATATTATCTACAATAATATTGTTTAACTGCCCCCCCCCCTTTTAACAGCAACTATATGCAATATAATATGGGGAGCTAGTCTTTATCATTTATTTTCAAATGCTTTAAATGCATCTGTTTTATTGTTAAAACTTTGTTCCAGACCTTTAATCTTAAACTATGAAATCTTAAACTAATAAAAATCTGAATTATTACATTTAAAACTAAAATCGCATTAGCACCAAGAATAAACAAATAATTTCAAAATTCATGGTGTGAAAATTATTTAATCCATTTTTCATATATTACAACTGTCTTGGCCTTTCTATTTCAAAAAATGTAAAAAATGACATTAAAGGGTTAGTTCACCCAAAAATGAAAATTCTGTCATTAATTACTAATGTCGTTCCAAACCTGTAAGACCTTCGTTCATCTTCAGAACACAAGTTAAGATATTTTTGATGAAATCTGAAAGCTTTCTGACAATGCATAGACAGCATGAGAACTACCATGTTCAAGACCCAGAAACGTAATAAGGACATTGTTAAAACAGTCCATGTATTCTGAAGATGGACAAAGGTTTTACACGATTGGAATGACATGAGGGCGAGTAATTAAAGACAGAATTTTCATTTTTGGGTGAACTTTCCTATTAAACACAATATATAATTTTAAGTTGAGAAAAAAGACAGAATTCTTCTGTGATGTTCACTGTTGGACATTGTTAGTGGACAAATTAAATCATCTACTGAATGCTCTAGTGGCCATTGCTGAGGAAACACCCCAGTATTTTTGAGGTACATCCATTTCAAATGTAAACTCCAGCAGTCTATTTGATACAGTTTGCTATGCAGTTTTTAAGGTGGCAATTTTGTTTGCTCGCCCCCTTGTCCAAATTTACCACCTCATATGAGCACAAGATGGTTTTCAGCATTTCACGGCATGTTTAAAAATATGCCGGGTACATTACTTAAAAGGTACTTATCACTTTTTAGTTTTCTCTTTGGGGTAATAGGATTTATACTTATGCATGCCAAGCCAGATAAAAGCATTTTAAAATGTTTACTATTTGCGTCACTGCTGGTGAAGCTGTAATCTGGCCTGGCAGTAAGATTCTGATAACACTGAGAGACGTTGGCGCCGCCCTGTCAATCTAATACGCTCCACACAAGTTTTGGTGATTCATTTTTCACAGTGCAGTGGAAACACACCACTGAGCACACTGACTGCTCAAAAAGCTGGGAATAGATGGCCAACCATGTCTTTCTCAATGCTAAACCATGCTAGTCAGTGTGATCTTAAGATCATCCCAGCAGCTATTTTCTCCTGCCAGCCACATTTCTCACTTCCTACAGTTGGTTAGAACAGGATCAGACTGTGCTAATCAGGCTGTTTATTAAACATTATTAGCACTCTGCCCTCTAATGATATTTTTAAGATTAGCACTATAAATACAGCTTTACATTGCTTTGGCTATAAACGGTGGTACTGTTCCAAAAGTAGTGAGCTGCCTTGCTGTCTGTTTTTTGTCCTTGTAAAGAATAAAGTCACCAATTTAAAATACTTTTCATAGGCACCAACTTTATACATCATACAGGTAGTGCTCCTCACACAGCATAAATAAAAGCCTCCATTCAAAATTGATTCTAACAGACTCTCTCGCATGTTGCTAAACTAACACTTTGATAAGGTTGCTTTCACACTTGATTCCAAAACCGAGTTCAACAGGGTTCACACTGTATTGTTTTGGGTCTGAACTGTATGTTTGTGTCATCAAAGCAGTAGCTTTGGATATATGGACATTTGTCATGTATATATATATATATATATATATAT